CCTTAAGTGATATCTCACAATTCAAAGTCATATCAATATTAATGTTTTGTGTTTCAATAAACTTTTGTTGGGATGACATCATATGAATGCACAAGGTGGTTGTGATTGTCGTCCTATTTTACCACAACAAATTTGTCAATTTTCTATTAAGAGATATGCACATATAAGCCGGACAATTAGTTCACGTCTCTACATTAGGCTTCCTTATTTTTCAATCTTTTTTATCTTAAAACCTTTGATCTTTTTTACGACAAATATATTTTATGTAAATGATAATGCCTTCTTTCAAACATTTGTTCTGAAAATATTTTCTCATGCTAAATCTCATAGACTCTCCATAATTGTTGTAAAATACATAAACATCTTCTTCAGAATCAAATTACGTATTGATACGTGAGATATTCTCTCTCACAATAACCCCTAAAGACTCCATCATAGTATCCTACAATACAAAATTTCATTGAAATGATATTATGTGGTGAATGAAACACATGAATATATGTATGATATTCCAAAAAAAAAAAATGGAACAACATTTGACAAACACTCGCTATCAAAATAGTTCCACAAAATTGGAAAAGATCCCCATTACCCATAGCCAAAGAATCAGAAAATCATGTATAACAATGTCACACCCCATCCCGGTCTCCCAAATATGAAACGCGACTAGATTTTTGATACACCTATTTACGTATATATAATCTGAATTAATAAAACACTAATAATCTCGCAAGTGCAACAACACCACCCATCACTCTAGTCATTAAGCATTATAGTAATACATGTTTTATAACTTGTATCATACATAACACATATACCATTTTTTTTTGTTTCCAAGTTATATACATGTATAAAATCACACACCCAAATAGCATACATCTCAAAGTATGCTTGTTGAGTCTGTTTATAATCATACACTATTAACTTGATATAATAATCTCTCACAAATATAATACACAACCAAGCAATTAGTCATACAGACGCTCAACCTGAGTGATATCACACTAATATTGTGTAAGACTCGATCGACTGGATAGTGGACTAGTTTACATCTTTCTCCATAGTACTTGAAAAAGAGAAGTTATAGGGGTGTGAGCTAAACCACGCACTCAGTGAGTATACATGTTATATATGAAATAGAAATGATAGTAATATACTAAAATAGGTAAATCCTACATAGATACACGTATCAAACAATAACATCAATCCAATTTTAAAGAATTCACAAGCCACATCACTTCCATACTACCCATCATTGGGTAATTGATCCCACATGATTTCGTGTCTCCCAAACATCTTGGGAACACCACAGTGCTAGCACACTACTACACGCCTAGTGATTAGACATCGACACTCTTGTCTCAAACAGTGCGCCACATTCCACAATACACAGTACAAAACATCATTCAATCACAAAAGAACATAACACATAATGCTGGAGAAATACTATTAAATTTTATCATTTACTATCATCTTATAATAACATTTTCAAAACATATATAAATGTACACCCACCTCAAGTGTACATATCTACGGGCCTTTAGACCTATTGGTGGATCCCACCGGTGTTTCTGTATCTGTTTTAACACTAACTGTTTTACTTGTTTCACATAACACATTTGTAATTATAGTATCAATATGTTTATCACATCTAATAGTTAACCATGCACTAATACATGCAAGATGATTAACCCAAAGTACTCCCGTAGCCCCGGTTACCACACTGTCCACTCGCATATTGGCACATTAGATTTAGAGATCACATTATCTCTCCAAATTTTCAAAATCATTCACATTAATCACAATTAGGATTAAGCAGGTCAAACACATTGACCAGGGGCCTATTTTCACATATTTCGATCCCGAATCCTAAAAACTACACTTACGGCATTTTATACATTTCGCACCGGATATTAGATTCATTTCCATTCGAAATTTACATTATCACATCAAACATCATTTAAAAATACATTATGAAAAATTTTGGGTCATTTGAATTAAAATTCACACATTTGATAATAACATTTATAAATCAAGATTTCGGTATTACCGACAACCATTTCCAACCTCTATCGTACTTTTCGTTTAAACCAGCCACAGTTAAACTCACACACACATTTAATCATACAAAACAACCCCTTTTTTGAACCCTCTAACCCCTTATTTTACTCTCATAATTCCAGTTCTAACCGAGCCCACAAAAAGCATCCCAAACATCTCAAATGATCGTTTTTCATATTTTTTTCATCCTTGGTTTAATACCCAGTTAAAACTCATTCTCAACAACCCCTAAATTATGTTTAACACACTTAATAAAATATGTTTTGAATTGAAAATATAATAACCTATTAAATTAAAATAAAATAGCCCACACATATACATATATACTAAAAATTAATCACACACACTAAATTGAACACACACCTTCTTCTTGATTTCTTCTTCTTTTTCCCACCTTCTTCTTGCCCTCTCTCACTCATGGTCTGGCATGGAAGCTCCGCCCAAGTTTCTCTCTCTCTTTTTTTTTTCTTCTTTCTTCCTCCTCTCAGTTTGAGCTAGCAACACTCACATTTGCTTGCTTTTTTTTTCTTTCTCTTCCTCCTTGCTCACGGTTCACTCATATTTTTTTTTCTTTTTGTTTACTCTCCCTCACTCTCAGTTTCCAGCAAAGAAGAACACACACACTGGTTTATGTTTTAAACACACACTTTTACATTTTTAAATTTCACACACACGTACACTTGTACACTTTAACAAACACACACACAGCCACTTAGCTTTAGTGTATGACTCACCTACTTCACATATTGACACATATAAGATGACTCATCTTAATTAGGTAATTACGCTTGCTTTCCCCTAAGTTCTTAAGTATTTTTGAAATCAATCCACTATTATTTTCATAGTTTCACATAATTGAAATCTACCCCACAATATTATGCTAATATGCATGTAATGCATGATCGGGTCTCACAAACAAACCCTAGGTCTCCCATATACACTACAAAATAGCATAAAATCATGTCCCCAAATCAAAACATAGCATGCAAGTTGATAAATACAAACAAAGATAGAGAGAACATAAATAAAATCAATAAGAATCGAACCGTATTGCGTTGAGTGTTTAGTACGGCTTCACTAGGAGGAAGATCCACAGTCGAAGTTCACTTGGCAAGAGCTACAATTGACAAAGAAGAAGCTGAGAAATTCACTTGGCGGGAGCTGCAATTGATAAAGAAGAAGCAGGAGAAGAAGTTGATCATTTGGTTTTGATATGGGAGTCGTTTCTGCGCACTGGTTTACAAAAAAAAAAAAAGAGCAATGCTATTGGGACCTAATTTGCTGACCTAATTCACTATGACCTTTGGATTGATTGTGGGGTTCATCAAACATTAGAACTTGGTATTGATCCAATGGTTCTGCTGAAACCACATCATTATGTCAGCAAATTATGTTATATTTTTAGATCCAAATAGTATTATTCAAAAAAAAAAAAGAAGCAAAACGACATTGTTTCATTAAAACGTACGACAGTGGTTAGTGGCCAACTGTAGAGGAGACGGACCCATTTTTCCCTCTTTGTGGCGGATTTTCTTTAACTGCCTTAGTCCATTAGGGTGTGCCTAAAAATAGTTTTCACCTACTTCTTTTGCCGTATATTTTTCCTTCATTGCTAAGACTCCAAAAAGCCTCTAAACTCTTTGAAAAGAGAGGAAAAGGGAAGAAAGAAATCGAGAAGCTTAAGCAGGAATTTTGAATCTGAGATTTTAATATTATGATTTATCATTATTCAGATCTTTCATCTTCAGAGATAGTTTTTTTTTTTTCCATTAACTATCATTGATACATCTCATTCTCATCTCATGTATATTTTGAGATTTCATGAAAAATATGCGTTCATCATATAACAATTACATCTTGTTTTAGATTATTCATTGATGTTGAATCAAGGTTTTTCATTATTCATTGAGGTAGACATCGAGACTAAGCTTTTATAAAAATGTACTAATTTGATTGTGACAAAGCCTTGTTCTAGATTATGGTCATTAGACTTGGTTTATTTGCCTTGTGGTCGAGCTTTAATTTCACTATAGTAGTGGTTCTAATAAACTCTTTTTCCAAGACTTCAACTTCTGGGCCTATTTAAGGATGGATCAGAGAGCTCTAATCAGTTTGATACTTCCATGAATCGCTCTCTAAAATAAGCTCAACTCTAGTTAATTTTGTGGACAAATTTCACTTTATCTCCCTATGGTTAAATCATTTTGTAGATCATATCCCTCATATTCAAAAATAATTACATAATCCTTACGTGATTTGTGGACTAAAAAACACCACTAACACCGTTAGACACTCTTACACAACTCTTGGAATGTTGTTGAAGTTAAGCTTAATCGTAATTTCGAGGTCTTCCATTCTGGTTAACACCTAATTTTAACACCAATTTTTAAAGAAAATGCTACTAAGACTTAAACTATTGACTTGATTTGTTGACTTAATCAATCACAATCATTGAATATGCAATGAATCTCAATAATGATTGGGACTTACAAATAACTTAGTGATAGTGATTAATCAAATCAATAAATCAAGTCAACATTTTAAATTCATGTAATATTGCTCATTTTTTAATTACACCAATTTTCTATTGTCACATGTCCCAAATTTTCCAATAAACATATATACAATTTACAATGTTATTTGTATTTAATTTGTATACCTAATTATTTTTTGTTATTGAATTAATAGTGGATCTCAGTATTAATTGAACCCGCTCCGCTCCAATTGAAAGATTAAGATCCATTGGGTCAATAAATGATATCAGACCCAATTCCAAAGTAGCATTTTCCTTTCCCTACACAAACTAACTGTAACTAACTCTCAACACCCGAGTCCCTGATTCTACCAATTCCAAACCGCCACGTGTCCTTGCAAATTCATTCCCGCCAAAAAGCCTATACATACGCACACCACGTTCTCTCTCTCTCTCTCTCTCATCAATGGCGACCAAACCAACTTTCATCACCCTTGTCACCATTCTCTCTCTGTTCTCTCTCTCCTCCGCGCTCCATTCTCAATCCATCCTCAACGCCGCCGAGACTCTCTCCAACTCCGGCTACATCGCCATGGCTCTCACCCTCCAACTTATCTCAGACGATGCCACCAAAACCGCCAAATCTTCAAGCCCACCATCCTTCACTATCTTCGCTCCGGCAGACTCTGCCTTCGCCGCCTCCGGCCAACCCTCTCTCTCTCTTCTCCAACTCCATCTCTCTCCCGTTTCTCTCTCTCCTCAAAGCCTCAATTCCCTTCCATACGGCACCAGAATACCCACTTTGTCCTCCTCAAAATCCCTAACTATCACAACACTACCATCCAGTTCTGTAATTTCACTCAACAATGTCACAATCACTGGTTCACCTATATTCGACGATGGTTCAGTCATTGTATACGGAATTGAAAATTTCTTCGATCCCAATTTTACAATTTCGGCCCAAATCGAAACCCCTGGCAATCAAAATCTTGGATGTGAAACTTCAAGAAGTTATCGGAGAAGCGAATTTTTGTTTCATGATGCGTCTTTAGAGTTGAGATCGAGAGGGTATTCGATAATGGCATCGCTTCTTGAACTGCAATTGGTAGGGTTTCTGAGTGATAATCATTTGAAATTGACGGTGTTTGCTCCATTTGACGAATTGATGTTTGGATTCTCCGGGGATTTTTCGGACTACTCGTCTCTTTTTTTTAGGCATGTGGTTCCTTGCAAAGTTACATGGGCTGATTTGGTTAACATCGGGAGCGGAACAGTGCTTGAGACTTACTTGGAAGGGTTTGGGATCAATGTTACAAGATCCGGCGATTTATTGATGGTGAATGGGGTTTCTGTGGGTTTTCCGGACATGCATTACAGTGATTTGCTTGTTGTTCATGGAATTGGTGAAGTTCTTGCATTGCCAGTCTCTGTTTCTGATGAAATTGGGAGCAGTGAAGAGTCGATGGCACCAGATCGAAGTGAATTTTGAGCTGGGGATGTTGATATAGTCTCTGTAAGTTCGTTTGTATACACTGAAAATTTGAAATTCTCCATGCTTGCTTATCTTTTGATACTTTGATTGAAAATGTGATGGTAAACTCAATCATTGTTGTGGCAGATGGTACAGTTCTTCTTGTAAAGGTTTCTTCTTTTGGCCGACCCAATTCACAATTATTCTAGAACTGGAACATGGAAAGCTTAGATATACAAATTACCATTTTTGTTTTTCTTATACTGAGATGGAGTTTTGCTGTTTGAAGGGTTCAGACCTGTAGGTTGGCCTCTTTTTTTTTTTTTTTTTTTTCTGTTATCTTTGGCATATTCCAATGGAACTCTGATCTAATGGACATGTATGCTTCAGTAGATATGGGCCTTATAGCATTTGCAGTTTTTCAGTAGCTTCAAGATTTAAAGAGGATTTCCTCTCGTATTAGTGGGGATGAATAAGGACTGAAGTCTGTTGTGTTTTGAAAAGTTATTGAAATACTTCGGGGAGATCAAGAGGCCTTCGAACTGCAAACCAATGTCTCAAACTCTAATGCCTCTGACAGCCAATTGAGTGTCCAAATGTTGATGTCACTGTCGATAATGCTGAATTTATGATTTCATTTATGTGATGTAGAGTTCGACTTGGCAACCAAAGTTAGCACCTTTAATCTCTCTCAAATTACAATGTGTGTGATCGATTCAGACCCTCCAATACATTTTTTCTTTAATTTTCTTTTTAGTAGATTATTCTCATTAACGAGTGAGAGACCCACTTGTATAAAATGGATTCCACTCGAATGCAGTAAATGATATGCCAAGATGGAAATTGAAGAAAATTTGTATTGAAGAGAATCTTGACTGTTGGCTGGTGATTTCTGTTCCACTTATTTTATGGGAATATAGTTTGTTTGGAGGAATACAGAGCATGGATAGGTAAATTTTCCCTGAATAAAAGTTGTGGTATTTTTACGGAATACGACAATTGCAGCTGGGGGTGGAGCCAAGAATTTATAAGTGGGGGTACTAGGTATAAGTTTAAAAATTTGCATTCTTAAGGATTAAAGTTAAAGACAAATAAAATTTTAAATCATATATAATACCTAAAATTTCATTGACAAAAGAGCTAAAAACCAATATACATGGGGTACAAAAACAAAAAAATCTGCAAAATAAGGTTCTGACCTTTTTACAAAAAATGAGACTAACTATAGTCTTTTACAATTGACCACGACGTGATTTTCATATTTTGAAAACGTTATATGATAATATCATTATCAATGCAATTAAAAATGTCATTCTCTATGTATACAATCAAGTTATTTATCATTCATTCGATTACGCAATCGATTCTTCACAATCTTCATAGTCGAAAATACTCTCTCTCTGTAGCAGTCGCAACTGGCAATATCAATGTCATAAGTAAGTAAATCAATGGATATACCACGTGTTTTTTGTCTCAACCATTTTCTGAGCAAGATCTTCAATTCCTAATAAATTTGAAAACTCAATACTAGAGTGAATATCAATAATATAATTATCCAGCTTATCAAAAAGTATCATGAGCTCTAGTGAAAAAAATTCTTTTGGATAAAATTAGGCAAGACGAACCAATTTCTCTTTATCAAAAGTTAAGAAAGACTCAGAAGGACTCAAACATGCCACAAAAAAAATAAATTAGTGTTTGACTTGATAAAACCACTATTTAGCTCTTGAAGTTACATATCTATGACAGTATAAAATAATTCAATTTGATAGTGATACAAATTTGTCTTTTTTTGAGTACGTCTTGAACTCTCTCGAACTTTAAAGATATTGTTCATCTTTGAAACAACTATATCATGTTTTTCACAAAAAAATGCGACAATTTTTCCTTATCATTTGAAGTCATTGCTCGAATACTTGAACTAATGTTATGACATTCACGATTTCTTAATTTTTCTTTTTTAATGTCTGGGACAACTCATTTGTGATTCCTAATATATTTTCTCCTCAAATGAAGATTGAATCAAACTCAAAAGATTGTCACAAGTCTTGAGGCGTGTTTGTGTTATTGTGATATCTTAGCAAAGTAGGGCCATGACAGTTAATTTAATTTTAGGAAAATTTCAGTCATACTCCTTCTAGTTTACCATATCTTCAAGGATACCCTCTTTATTTTTTGAATCGTTACTGACACCCCTGTTAAATTAAAGATGTTAACTAGAATACAATTTTACTAAATTGTCCATGATTAAGAAAAATTTCATCCACCCTCTTTAGATTGGCATATTTTCAATGAGACCTATTTGTTTTTTAAATTTTTTTACGTATTAAAATTTGGGTCAATTAAAATTCGATTTGAGCTAATTAAAATTTATTTTTTACGTAATAAAATTTGAATTGATTAAAAATTATATTTTTTTAAGTATTAAAATTTCAACCGATTAAAATTCATTTTAATCAACTGTTAATCAACTCACATTGAATTTGAATCGGCTTGAATTTTGATACATAAAAAAATATAAATTTTAATACTTAAAAAATAAATTTTAATCAACTTGAATTGAATTTTAATTGGCACGTATTTTAATAAGTAAAAAAATATATATTTTAATCTATTGAAAGTAAATTTTAATTGGTGCTAACAACTCAAATCAGTTCGAATTTTAATACATAAAAAAAATTTAATAGGCTCAATTTTTAAAACATAAAAAAAAATAAAATTTAATTAGCTCAAATCGAATTTTAACCAACTCAAATTTTAATATGTAAAAAAATAAATTTTAATCAACTCGTTAATATGTAAAAAAATGAATTTTAATCAACTCAAATTTTATGTAAAAAAATTGTTTGGGTTTATACGGGGATAATTTTAATATTTTGGATGATTTTTTTTGTCGACGTTACTGGAGAAGGAGAGAGCAGATACAAAGTAGAAAGCATTTCGTCAATTCAGCATGGAGTGAAGACAATCCATCTTTGGAGCTGCCTTGCAATCAATCTTCTCATCAATTTTCCTCATTACTTTCTCTCTTTTTGTTTGTCTTCTCTTCTCCAGTTGTGAATGGGAATATAGGAAGTACTTTGGCAACAAACCTTGCTCGGAATGCCAAAACAAGCATTGCTTGATACATGCTACAAGGCTGTGTGAACTTCCAACAAAAAATGAAGCAATTGCTTGGTGAAACTACCGGCACTTGATCATCTTGAATTTCCAAATAGAAAAAAATGAAACAATTTAATGTTAGATCTATACATGAAATTTGTTCGCATAGTCCTCGTAAGGTACACCACAAAGCCAAAACAAATCGTCTGTGATACACCTCTGGGCACAAGTAGGTAAGTAACTTCTCGACAAAAGCAATGCTTTTATTGATCGATGGCTTCCTCACGTAAGAACCAGCATTTTTTGGGCCAACCACATAGAAACCTTACTTAGCTGAGATGTATGCATGTGGGCAGAAGAAGGGGACAGGTCAAAAACACAATCAGGTTGAAGATTCAAAAATGAACTCGTGCTGTAACATTGAGGATAGAGTCAACTGGAAAGCCAAGAAGGTATAATCGAATACATAACAGTGTATCCATGACATCGGAGGGAGATTCCTCTTATTGATCGAAGACTGCTGGTGGTGGTTTTACAATTATACTTGCTCCAAAGCCACGTGACAGCCCCACACCAGAAATGAATTTATCTTGCCCCTCGACTTCATACCCACAGTGTTCACACTGGAGCAGCCCATTCCCAGATGAATACCCCAAAAAGAATGTATAAATACCAAAGAATGCCTCTCAACCAAAGGTATTCAAATTGGCCAATAATCAGATGCAGCAAAACACTAACCGCGTGTTACAGTGGTCTTTGTTTAATTGGTATGTTGTCATCTGCACTGGTTTGACTGTGACTTCCAGTCATCGAGAAGTTTGTGTGTAGACTCTTCAAACTTCTTCAATTGAGGTCCTGGCTTCAAAACATTGACATCACCCCATTGGGAGCATGGATCCATCAACCAGATCTTCCAGCCAGTGCACCATGCCCCTGGGGTAGCTCGGTTATGGCCACGCTTGAGGATCTTCTCATCAATCATATCTAGCACTGGGTCATCTATTTCAAACTGTCTTGCGAAAGCAGCTCCACTTTGGACCATTGGCTCATAACCTGACGTGTTGAGAAAGAGGGGCTCCATCTTTGGGGGGTTGTCCCAGACCACATATCTCAAATCGTTATTAACAGTTGTGTTCTTGAACTCTGGTGAATTGCAAATGACAGAATGAAAATAGAATTCTTGAGATAAGGCTACATTAGCAGAGTACATTAAAAGGGTTCGGGGGAGGTTATCCCAGCCAAAAACACAAAATTCAAGGAAGGATCGGCTCAAGACAACCCATGGAGAACCTGAAAAACCCAAAAAAAATTGGATTATCTTTGAGTGCAGAATTCCCTCTAAATACTGACGTTTTTATGCTTATCCATCATTTATAAGTTGCATGGCCATTAAAATATAGAGAAGAAACTTTGCCTGTAAAAACTTTGAAAGATTCAGGCATTGGCCTCTTTTCTGTGGCATGAAAGATTTGGGTCCTCCTAGCCAAGTAAAGTCCCGGATCAACTACAATTGGCTGGACTCTCTGACCCCTGTAATGATATTAAACAAAAAATAGCATCACACAACAGTAGGCTTAAATACTACATGTTTATTGCTAAAATTTGCAAAAAAGGTTTGCCTACTCTTTCCATCCAAGGTCACTAGTGTGATCAATGAAACTGAGGTCTCTTCTAACAGAGGAGAAAACTTGTGACAAGTCTGAAAACAGATAACAAAAGCCCAAAGAAAGTCAGCATAGGTCAAGTACAAAAACAATCCAATGTAATGAATCCATAATAATTTAAGACTCTCTTCAAGAAAGTGTGCATGACATCTCAAAATGACAATAAAGAAAAAGCAATGCCAAGGGCAGCATATGAAATGTCATGACATTAAAATACTGAAGGAGATATATTTGCACAATGGAGAGGATTCAGTTTATGAACATGTGGTTGCCACTGAGAATATCAGATTGCGGATTTCAAGCAAATGGGTGCCCTAGTTCTCTAGCTCTCGACCAAAGCAGACAAACAATCACGTGCTATTCTCAAAAGGAATATGAGAGAAATTTGCCATTTCTGCGCTATAAATCCTGAAAGCTCACAATGAAACACTTCACGTGCAATCAGATCGAGGCAAGTGCTTTCTGAAGACGATGTCATTCAGTGGTGCCTGCATCACAGGTATGGGCTAAAGCCCTGTGCATCAACATACTAAATTATCTACAGTGGAAAAATTGAATGTCATCTCCATGACAGGCGATGGAAGGCAATAAGGTACTGACATTAACTTATGAGTTACTAATGATAAAAAGTGTTGATGGCCTTGGAGAACAAATTCCGTTCCTTTCATCTTATTTCCATTACCACTATTGGCATTATTAATGTTTTGGGTTTCCTTCAAATTACATCAGAAAGATTTAAGATTCCACTTTCCTATCAAACCATTTGTAATGTGCACTGTCTGGATAAATTTTTGTTAGGCTTGCAGGGAGGGGATTTGTCTTATATGTCCAATCTTCATCATTTTCATTTCCATCTGCAACAAAATAAATATTTTTTGTTGCTGCTGTGACACCAAAAAGAAAATGCATTTTGTATCATCAAAAGAAACTAAACTCATTATCAGCCTCAATTTGCTACTTTTGGAATTTCTGCGCTCACATTCCTTTCATTGGCCCTTTGTGAGTTCATACAGTTTTAGCCCTTCCTCCTCTACCTTAGATGACTCTGTAGTATGTACACAAAAAATTAGCAACCCCACATGTTGAAGTAAATTCAGCATTGCACTTCAGCTTCAATCCAGACTGTGAAGCAAAAACATTTATTTATATTCTTCTACGAAGAAGCTTTCCCTCGTACTCAAAAACATAGCTTACGAAAACATTTAAATACCCTGAAATAGAACCAGCGGTTACACGTATGTCAGGCAGTTGAAGCGTAGATGTAAGTTCATGATAGCCATGGAACTTCTATTACCTCGGAGTAGCCTCAGATGCTGTCCATGCTATAAACTACCTCAGAATCATTTCTTCTTCTTATTCTTAGTCATATTCTTTTTTCTTCTTGTTTTGTTTGTGTGCCCAATGTTTTTCTTCCGTTCTTTTTTGGGGTGGGAGTGTACTTCAAACAATTTCTTTACCAGTGATTGGCATCTTAGGAGGAATCCAGGCCAAGGGAAAGAACTATGTTCAAATTCCCTCGGAAATCTTTTTTCTGACCTTACCTCGTACTTCCATCGACTCTACTAGTTTTTGCAGGCAGCAAGGGGTTAACATAGACCAAAAGACCTTTCAAAATGTTAAACATGTGCTTCAAGATAAAATGGGCAAGAAATTTTATCAAAATGAAAAAAGAGAAAAGAACAACACAATTCAAACATGTACAGCAATGGGAAAGATGTCCAAACATGGAATGGAAGTCAACAAGCTAGAACTAAATCACAGTTCAAAATAATCCAAGAACCCAGAATTGGGGAAGTAGTGAGAACACGTAAGCTCTAATAAGTGCCATAATGCTGCTAAAAATGTCCTTACCTCTAAATGCAGAATCCAACTACTTAATAGGCTGGTAACCACTAAGAATTAAAAGACTCAGTTCCTAGGAAAGGTAATTTCTCATTATGAAAATAATGAGAAATATCAGAAACATTAGAAAATTATTCATATTTTGCAGCATAACAGAAATTTCATTGGCCTTTACAAGATAAATTTGGACCCTTTAGATCAGGAGTAATGTACACCTTAGCTTTTAATGGTCATTCCACCTTTATATACTTCTTTTGTTTTCCTTTTTCGAAACTTAACCCATCTTACATTACTAACCATTACACATCCCTCCTAAAAATAGTTAATTTCCCACATCCAACTAATCAGAAACTTCATTCGTCATTACATAAAATAGCAAAAGCCCCTTAAAAGTACACTTCCAACCAAGCCACAAACCACATACCCCTATGCATATAGAGCAATAAATATAGTTCATTTCCAAATCATTCCACATTCAAAAACATATAAGCACATCCAACAAGCATAACCAAAAATAAATAACAAATAAGCACATCTAACAAGCATAACCAAAAATAAATAACAAACTGCATACCCAACATAGTAGTAAACACATGCCAATCAAATTAATCCAAAAGTAAATTAAACCTGATTCATCTAATCGAAATTATGGAGATTATTACCATCTTGGGTAACCAATGGATAATCTAATGCACTCAATGTTATAAACCAATCCCACCCACTATCCACCTTCAACAATATAGCAGCAGCCCTCAAAACCGCAGCAATATTCGTGGACCCCATATAGGTCACCGGATCAGGTCTCCCCACCACATCCACATTCCCAAAGGCTGTAATCACTGGCACAGACCTAATCAAAGCCATCAATTTCCTTCTCTCATCGTCCGACCCATCTGCCCCAATGTGCAACAAATAACGATTCCTCGGATGATAAATTGAAAGCAGCAATCTAAACATTCGGTCCTTATGGCCATTCCCACCCGTAATTAAGTAAGCGAATGCCGGAGGGTACCCGGGACCGTGCCGGACGGTTGAAGTGTAGGGTTTGTAGGAGGTGAAATAATGATATGAGGCACTAAACCCAGAAATTGAGGAAAGGAAAAGCATAAAAGAGATAAATATGGCAGAGAAGAGTGTGAAGAGCCATTTCTTCTCAGCTCCCATAGTGGATTTCTTCCCTGTTTATCTAGTTTCTGAAGCATGGAATGAATGTAGCAAAAAAATTGGATAATATAAAAAAAGGGTTTGGATTTTTAGATACAAAAAAGAGCATGTAGAGGTGGGTTCGTGGAGATCTTCATGATTGTGGACTTTGTTTGAAAGAAAAGCCTAAACAAAAAAGAGTTAGCTGGGTTTGTTTGGTCAGATACAGAAATGTGTATCTGTAGATGGGGTTGTGGAGATCTTGATTTTCGTGGGTTTGGGTTGAAGAGACAATGAGAGCGAAATGTAAGATTGGGGAGAAAAAGATCAGAATTTGCTGGTGTCGCTCTTCTCCAAGAGTATGTTTCTCTCTATATTATATAGATTGCGTGCATCTGATTATGTGAATCTCAGGAGAGAGAGAGAGGGATGGACATAGGGATTGCTTGTTATATTTAGTTTGGTGGTGGAAAGAATGAGTTTCAATGGAGTCTGTTTTTACTTCTTTTGACTTTGAATCAATTTTTGATTTCATCTGTTGTTTTGTGCTACAAACATTTAGTTATGGAGATTATTGTCCCACTCTCAACCTCTGTTCCACGCGCTATCCGAAACTATTTCACCAAATAATGGTTTTGTTTTGGAGTTGGACAAATTTCTTGGGGACAACATGCCGACCCAAGAATACCAGAGGTCATAGATGAATAATTTAGTTATTTTTATTTTTATTTTTAAATATTTAAATTCATATCTTTTAGTAGGTACATATAAAGTCAAAAATAATTTGTAAAATTAATACACTATGTGAATGATTATATTAAGATCAAAATAATTTCAAAATATAGTTTAAGAAAATTAACTAAATAAATAAGTTAGATTTGAGATTGATAATTGAGCTGAATTTTGTGAGCTCGAGTCAAGCCTGTCACACATTTTTTTAAACAAGTTCAAAAAATTGTTCAAATTTGGCTCATTTTCCTGAACTGAGTTGAATTTGAGTTGAACTCAAATAGCTCGACTATTTTACATATAAACGAATTGAGTTTTGAGAGTTTGAATTGAGTCTTTAGGATCTTTTTTTAAACGAGCTTAAAAAAATGTTCAAACTCGGCTCGTTTAAAAAACCAATTGAATCCGAACCGAGCTCAAAATGAGTTGAACTCTAGTGGCTCAGTTCGATTATCTATCCTAGTTATAGTTATTGAAAATTCAAATAAATAACATAGTAAAATGTGGCAATGTTTTGTACAAAAATATAGTGCAATTTTTTTTTTAATGTAAATATATTTCTAATTTAAAAAATAATATTTTTTTTTATATTTTTTATTGTTTAACGTAACATCTTAATTTTTTTTATATTTTTTTAAATTTAATCATTTTATTTTAAGATATATACACAAATGAGTTTGTAAACGATCGTGTTATTTGCCTAGGAATAGAGTTGGCCCTAGTGCACAATAAATAAATATATATATATATATATTTTCATGTACTATCATATGGAGAAGAATAATGAGGTTTGAATTCATGTTTTTAAAACCCACCAATGGAGGGTCATTAGGTCGGTCGTTATCCTCATACAATACATAAATTATTTAGGCGACCAAATTCATACTATTTATAACAATTGAAAGCTCACATATAGCTTCTAAAAAGTCTATTTTTTAAAGGGAGGTGAACTTTTGAGGGTGGACTTTTTCTTTTTTTTTGTGTGTGTGACTATTCATGCGGGGGAGGGAAACTTGGTGAGACTCGCATCTTAGACTAGGAGAAAAGGCAAGAAAATACCAATTACTAGACCATTCCTCTTTGTTCACGAGAGTCGAATAGACACGTTTATTTTTTTGTAAAAATATAAAAGTATGCACTAGGCAAAGCAATACTTAAGAAATAAGCTTTAATAATAGTTTTCAAACAGACAAAATGATGTTTTGGTGACGTTCTTATGAATTTAAGGATATTAATATCTTAGTACTAAAATAGAAATACACTGTGTATATATTTTATTATTTGTGCAGTACTACTTTGTGAAATTTGATAGATATTTGGATTCTTCGATGGTCAATCAAAATAAAAAAAAATTGTCAAAAATGAGAATATTTTTTTTAAAAAAAGTACATTATTTTTGCAACAATTTATTCAAATTGCACAAGAATTTGGGCCAATTTTCATTGAATCAAACACAAATCACACTAAATTACTCGATTTTTTACAAATGTCCAATTTTTTTTTGGTATAATACCAGTTTACATTAGAGATTGAGACTTATATCTTGATTCTTTATTCATTCTATATTGGGAAGAATGACAGAAAATCATTCGATAACACTTCTTCTTATTTTTTTTTCAATGATATCCGATGATCAAGACAATTCCCGTGAAACTCTTTCATTTTGATGATGCATAAAATGTATTTCTACACCACTTGTAAAATATTTAATGGAATGATTAAGAAAAAGACTCAATACAAATAAACTCAAATTAAGTAGTTTGGTCGGGTTGACGTGCTCTACTATGAAGGGCTATGGTAACTTGAGTGTTTTATTTCTAGAAGAAGTGTAGAATGCTCAAATTTAAGTAATAATGTGAGAGATGTTCTCTTGTGTAAGTGAGACTTACAATTTATAGGTGTCTCTTAATAGATTGATGTGTTATTCTTGTAACAGGTGATGTAATTCGATGGAGGTGGCGTCATGCTTGTAACAGGCGAAACGGTTCCATGGAAGTGGAGACGTGCGTGTTTCACATAGATCTCTTTGTATGTCAGTTGTGGATCGAATTTCTCAAAGTGGTGATTGATCTGATTTTTTTAAGATGACACGATTGACCTAACTTAGCGTCCTCCATCATGTGGTAAGTTAGACCAGTGTATGTTTGAGGTGGGTCTGGTCTGTACCAATTCTAAAGTGTCTTTGAACTGGAGCTAATCTATAATTCTGGACTAAACCGCTAAACTAGGCTTAATCTGGGCCAAGCTTGTCACATTTTATAGAAGTTCATTCTTATTCTTATAAAACAAATATTATTTTTACCATGGTCCGAGATTGTGTCCAATACTTCTCACTGTCTTTGCGAATGATGTTATAATATAATATAATGACTATAAATGGAAAAAAAATTTGATTGTAATGTTGTAACTTGTGTTGAGATGACTATAACGAACCCAAACTGATGCAAAAGGAATGATTGTGGTGCTTTCATGACTGTTCCTAAACTTTTGGAGTGTTGGGTACACGCGTCATAGGAGCGTATATGTGTGTCTTATCTATTTATATAGTCATTGTTGTCTTCACAGGTGAACTTACAATTTCTAATTACAATAAAAGAATTTAGGGAGAATTGCACTTTAGGCTCAAAAAATTCAAGAATTCTTATTTTATACCCTTAGAAATTAAATTTTTATAAATACACCCTTAATTATTAAAAGTAATGTAATGTGGTCTTTTCGTTAGTTTTTATTATTACTCATTCCCTCAACGTCAATGGGGTGGTTTTTGACGAAATAAACCAAAGAAGATAACAGAAACAGAAGAATAATTGCATTATAGCATTTTTAATATATTGAGAATATAATGTAACAAATCTTATTTTTAATGGTATAAAGTGAAAAATTTTAAATTTTTTGAGGTCAAAGTGAAATTTCTCCGAAAAAATAACAGTTAGAAATTAGGGAAATATGGCCTATTTTCTTTTAAAGTTTAGAACTCTTTTTAACCCCTTTTGAATATTTTTTTTGTGAGGCTTATTAAATTTAGAATGTTTATAATCTCCCCAATCACATCACATGCATCAAGTAATTCAAACTCTCTGTGGTAAGATTCAAATTATTCGAAATACTGACCACTCTAGTGTCATGTAAACTAACTTCACGAACTAGACCACAGTGAAAATAGGCTATTGGGTTCGATTGGGTCGGGTTAAAACTCTCTCGTATTTAAGTTATTTTAAGTAGTATTTGCTTCCTCACATTATGCTTGGTGGGAACTTGATGAATCGTTGGTGCATGGTGTTGGCGATTTTTTTTTTTTTTTTTTTTGGGGTGAGTGTGTTGGGGATTTAATAGTCAGAACATATGATCAATGTTCTTAAATATTCTGATATATGACAGTGAGGAATGTGGCCCTATCAATAATAAAGCCTCAATTAATGTATGTTAGATTTACTATCACCACGGGATTCATGCCTTCTCCCATGTTCTACATAATATATTTTAGGATAAATTACATTCAACTATCTTGAAGTTTGATAAAATAACACCTAGAATCCTTATTTGAAAAATAGCACTGAGCTATCGTGTTAGTGACGTCCGACTCATTTCTTTAACGGAACCAATAAAATGACTATATTACCTCCCTCTCTCTCTCTCTCAATTATTTTCTCATCTAAAACACTGCCACCAACCAAAACCCACCACTGCTAGCCTACAATCGAACCGCTGTTGCTTGCCACCAATTGAACCGTTATTGCCAATCACCAATTAAACCATTCTCCCCATTTTTTCCATCTTGAAATTGGACATTTTCCTTAAGATGATCCAAAAATTCAGTACTTTAGTATTCATCTTCTCAATCAGATCGAAGAGTTTTAATACTTTTACTAGTTTATTTTTCTACTTCATATCTGAATTCTTTAAACTTTTCAAAAGCTTCAGATTTGTTCTTCATTAAGTATACATACCGTAATGGTAAAGGTTATGAAGTAAGAAAAACTTCCTTTGGCTACTGAATTAATTGGTCCACATACATCACTATGTATTAGTCCTAAAATGTTTGTCGCTCTTTCACCATGTCCTAAAAATGGTGTTTTAGTCATCTTACCTATAAGGCAAGATTCACAAGTTGGGTGAGCTTCATAAACCCATGGATCTAATAGTCTATAATTAACCAACTTGCGAATCCTATCGTCACTATATGACCCAGTCTAGGATTATTATCATCTCTTGATCTTTTATGAGTTATGGCATTCAGATCTATTTGCTCAATATTATTAGCATTACCATTTATGGTTAAGAAATAAAGGCCATTCATGAAACCAAATAAAAAAATCAAAATCAAAAATTGAAACCGAAATCGAAATCCAATCTATTCATTGGATTTGCTCTCCGACAAATGATGTTCGATTGGCGTGGAGGTGTTGGTTGTGGCTGGCGACATGTACACCGGCCAGTTCATGTACTATGGCAAAAAGGCCAATCTCGTCTCCATTTTTTCTATTCCTGAAGGTGTTGTGGTGTGTAACGTCGAACACCATGTGGGTGATGGTGGTGTGTTTGCCAGAGGTTCTGTGGATTATGCGATTATGATTGCATTGGGATTGTGATTTTGAATCCACTGGTAATGGGTAAAAAGGTATAC